GTACGACACTACTAAAATGGGTTCTGCGGCTTCTGCAATGACATTTTCTTGAAACGTGTGTGTAAGGAAAGGGCGTAACCATACATATCGCCTCTGGAGTTAGGCCCCCGCCATAAATTTCGTTTTTCCTAGACTGTTTTCCTAAAGGAAGTGTTTCTACAACAGTATAAAGAAAATACTGGCAAGGAAAACCGGTCTGCACGAGAAAGGTTCAATAAATAATCGGTCGATATTATATTTACTAAGAGGATTTTCAGGATCATTCCAAGAAGATTGCTGCTGTTAATTAGCGTAATTATAGAAGGGAGGGGTGAGATTTGTTATCAGAATCAACAGGGCCACTCCCCACTCTTTTGCCCTCTTCGTTCAATTTTGTAAAAAAGGGAATTCCCTTATCCGGCTGCCCCCACCTGCGAATGGGTTGCGTGTGAGGGGGGGCTCAAACCATTTCAAACTGCTACCTCTAATATGAAGCTATCCTTTTCTGCTGTTTGTAGCGGAGAAGGGAACGACGAAGAGGCAAGTTATCCCTATCCTGAATTAAGGGTGCACCAACAGTTCGCAAACGGTGCTTCTACCTTTCTTGGGGATTCTTTCATGGCAAGAAAGACGATTAGGCAACAAAAAGCTGGTTACCATTGAAAAACACAACATCTTTTTCAAAATATTCCATCTGTGAGATGTCTCTGCAAACGAATCAATGAATTCAATACAACACATACACTAAATGACAATCACTCATCCATACGAATTCATTCTTAGCTTTGGTATATTTGTTAACAAATTGTATGAAAACATAATTAACAGCTAATTCTGATATTAAAAATAATACAAACATTTACTGTAAATGTTTCAACAGTATTGCTTCATCAAGTGATGCAAAAAAGTCAAAGACTACTTAAAATAGCAATAATACAGAATGTTACAGTTTTAAAGAAGAATATGAAGGGCAATTTGAAAACAAAATATTTGGCAAGATCATTGTTATCAGTCAATTTCAGATACTGGTGGAAACTCAAATGTACATCAAATACGTGTATCTATCAAAGAGTTCGTTTTACATTACAGCCATCAAAACGAAGTTACGAATGACATAAAAATCCATTTAAAAGTTTGAAAACCATTTTAAAAAATAAGATGAGGATACAAAAAGAGATCTCTCTAACTGAAGCGAACAATAACCAGTTGAAATCTGATTTCTTTCTTTTTATCCCCAAACTCCAATTTCTTAAGAAAACACAAACAGGTTGACATAATGAATACATATATAAATATATTTAAAAAAAACTAACGAATACATCATCATGAATCTTTGGATGGTTAATTAAATGTACCAGATGATGCAGCTGTAGATGTGGAAGCAAGCAAAAAAAATTCACAAATGGCCTTTGATTTGCTTTTGGTTTTGGCAAACTACATCCCTCATCCATGATATGATTCTTCTTGTTTGTCTATTAATAATTAGTAAATGTACATAGAACGAATAAGCAGAGAATTTGCCCCCAGCAATATAAAACTAAATGTTATTTTGGCTTTTAACCTATTTGATTAAAGCATATACACTTGAAATCACACACCTTTTTATAAAGTCCAAGAATTCTGAAATAATTTATACACATTCACTACACATAATACAACTTAAAACTCAAAAAATAACAAGAAATTGTAATGACAAATTTACCTGTGGTATTCATTTCAGTCTGCAAAGGAAATACAGTAGCTTTGAGGTTCCTAAAGCTAAAATGAGAAGGAACTATGAGAAGGGGATTTTTTTTAATCAAATGCCAGCTGAAAAGTGCCATCTGTGAAAATAATCTTTGCCGTTTAGTGCTTTCAAAATGCTAGTGAAATTACACTGTCCATCTTAGCTTTAGGAACCTCAAAGCTACTATATTTCCTTTGCAGACTTAAATATATACCACAAATAGCTCTGTTATTTTGAAAGATGTTTCAGTGAAGGTTCATGTTAGATCCGTACAATCAGTCTCCACCATTTCTAGGATTCTGAGTTCCATCTCTCTTCCTAACACTGCTCCCTTTTTAGGAAAAATAACAAACAGATAATCAGTTACAATTATATTCAAACTTGTTCTAGCCTTGCTTGATGCATGATCAATCATCGCCAACACCTCGCAGTGAGAGAGGCAAGGTACTGTTGGCAACACAGTACTGTAATATCTTTAGGTACATATCTTCAGTGGCACAAATCTGTACTAGGTACTGATGGAAAGGTGATGACTGAAATCAAACATTGCCAGGCTGTGGAAATTCAAAAAGGGAGTGGGGCATTCAAACTATGAGGTGTGCTCATAGTACGGATGTAAATCTTAATGCATAAGCCCCATAAATAACAATACATCAAAACAGCAGTTCGACAGTTTTTGTACATTTTCTCCCTTTGTCAGAACTACTCGATACATTTTCATTCTTGGGTAGTATTAAAAAACACCTCACAAGTCGTTTTTTCTCCCTATGAAGGAGGGATAGGATAACATTTCATCCCCCCCCGGTCAAAAGTGGGAGGGATATAATATCCCCAGGACTTATGCCACTGCATATCTTGAACAATAAAAGTTTAGGTGATCAGACATTTCAAAGTAACCAAGTCAAAGAGTTGAAAACAAGGTCCATCATCATCTCCAAAACCTTAGCCAGTTTTAAACGTACTTTTTTAAAGCCATCCCATCACACTTTTATTGACATTCACAAATCCATGTACCTTTCTGAGTGAAAAAGTAAAAATAAGCAAAACTGTACTCAAGATTATCTCTGCTTGTGCCCCTAATGACCTACAAATATTCTCTTTACATGGAAACTGGCACACTCATGCAGCATAATATGATACAGAACATAGCTTAGCAGGCGTAGATGGAGCATGACCTCATTGGTTACACTGTGAATGCCTAGGTGACGATGATGATTGCCACTTATGAAGGTCAGAGACAGCGAAGTAACAGTCCAAATTTCATATGAACTGGGATAGTGTTCAGAACCATTTCATTACTTCATTATCTGTTAATTTTTTAATTTAACAATCGACTGTTCTTTAAAAAATATTGATTTGTAGAGTTACATTTGAAGTTGTGAAAAATGGTAAGAACTAATGGTTTGGTATCGCTTTCACTTCAAAACCCTCTGGCCTGGAATGAAAATGAAAGACTTAAAATCTCAGAGAGTTCTTACCTTGATCTTTATCGGCACTCATATCAGTTAGAAGAGTGGATGTGATTTCACCATCATCATCAGTACCTTTAAATGCAAAAATCAACATTAACAAGGTTTTTTCTCATGTATTTTGTATGTGTAGGAAATCATACTGTTGAGTTTCAAACCTCAACCTGAAAGAGTAATTTGAACTTCTGTCTTTTGAACAAAACATGGCTGCCTCTAAAAATATATACAAGTCAGTCTCACTATAAATAATATCATTTCTCCACAAATCAGTTTATTTATTTTACCTTTATCCCCAGAGAGAATTCCACTGTCATTTCCACTGTCAGCATTGTTTCCATCATCAATTTTTACTTCATCTGCAGTTTCAAATAGAGTTGAAAAAATTAGTGCTGTGGTAGAGTCCATCAGAAGTCAACCATTCCAAAGCGAAATCACAGGGTTGTAAGAGATTTTTCCCTTTCAAAAAAGATACATTACAAAACAAGTAACTCACCAAACCAAAAAACTAAATCAACCTATCAATCCACAACCCATTCCATGAACCCAGTTACTCAACCCCACCCATAATCCAGTTACACCCACAACCCAACCAATCCCAATCAAACCCTCTCACCCACAACCCAACCCAATCCATTCCACCTACCCACAACCCAACCCTACCCAATCAACCCTACCCCCAACCCAACCCAATCCATTCCACCCACCCACAACCCAACCAAACCCAAGAGAACCCAATGCAAACCACACACCCACATCAAGAGGGATATCTTACTCAGTGGTAAAGTTTCCGCTTCCCTTGGCAAGTCTGGAATTATAACCAAACAGTGTCATAAGAGTAAGCATTTACTGATATAATGAACCTATAGCAACTGTCCTGGAAGTCAGTGATAAAAACCATGAGCTGGTCAGTCAAACAGTTAGCCACAGTTAATATGCAAGCATAATATAATTCAGACTTTTGACGTTCTAACTTTTATCAACTTTCAACTTTATCCCTCTACAGCATTCCATGTCCAATTTAGCTTTCAACAGATCATACTCCGACCAGGTATTTGAACTTCACAAAACTAAGCAGATTGATGGAATCTTACACCCTTTTTCATGTGTAAATGTCCATGTATATGCTCTATCTATGATGATTCTGAGTCACTCCAAAACTGAACAGATGCATAAAGCACTGACCATTCCTGAATAGGCTGGCAATTCTAAGATTTCAACAGGAAAACAATAGATCGCAGTTCCCTCAGTGTTGTCCTCTTGATTCTTACAAAAGAAAGGCAATCTTCTATCTTTAGCTCTACTGACCTCTATGCACAGAAGTACTTTGTTTGCATAAGTATTTGTGTATACATGCTCCAACCAGCAGGCCAATTACGAAACAGGCTACAATGACAGGGACGACAATATTCCACGTTAAGCAGATTATCGGCGGTGATCCTGTAGGTGATGTTGTTTCATCTGACAAAATGACAAAGTATAGGAAGCTATTCCACTTCAAAAACTTGCCATTTACTTCATAATTTACATACTGTGAATATGAGACAAGATCTGTGCAAACACAATGTGGATGCAATCACTTCTGTAAGAATGGTGGTTCTGAGAAGAACAGGTGAGTATGAACTCAACACTTCGACCAGGATGCTCAGGTTGATCAGGAGGGATGCTAGACTGGAGTAGAGTACTGACTTATCTGGTGGTTTGCAATCAGTGACCAGAATACTAGAAGCCATGTTGTAATCAAGACCAGGCAGTCTGAAACCAAAAACAAGACCACAACCAACAGTCCAAGACCAGACCAGCAAAAGAAAACGAGACCAAGACCAAGACTGAGACAGTCCAAGACCAAGACCAAAACTGACAGTAAGAGACCAAGACCAGGCCTGAAAATGTAATCCAAAAACAAGACCAAGGTCGAGACCAAGACCACACCTGTAAAAGGGATTGAATTCATCTCTGTGTGTTGATCTAAACCTGGGAGGATTAGGGCCATTTTCCAATACTCAGCTTCGTCTCCGTCTCAGGATTCATCCACGAAACCAATCCCCGATTGTGGGCCTGAAGCATTTAAATTAAATTGGATTACTGTAATTTTTGGTTCTCTTGCATCTTATTTGATGTTTTGTGGCACTATTAGACTAATTATTGTGCTTACAGCTTCAAAGTGAGGTAATAAAAAAACAGTTGAAGCCTGAGACGGAGCCGAAGTTGAGTACTGGAAAGCCTAAGCTTGGGTATGGGGTATGCTGTATCAATGTATAGTTTGACAGAATGCTTTTGGAATGACCTCAACATTGTTGGTTTTCACTTTGCATTCTTCAATATTGTGTGTACTACCCGACCTACAGTAAACTCCGACTAAGTCTGCATCGGGTAACTCGTCATATTTTTTAAGTCGGCCTTTTAACAAAAGTCTCGATCGTCTGTAATGCATTCCTATTGAAAATTTCATTTATAAGTTGGCATTTATAAGTCGTCATTTCATATATGTCGGCATGTTTTTCTCAGTCTTTTTTCCACAAAACCACAAAAATTCCTTTGTGTAAGTTAGTTTTAAAAAAAATCGTGCTTCGGTATCAGTTTCCTTCACCGCCGTTGCCAAGAGCTGGATTTTTGACACGGTCTGTTGTTATAAGGCCCAACTCTTTTGTCCCAGTTCCGGGCTCCCCGGCTCTGCATATAAAGCCTATGTACTCAAAAACGGGTCGCCCGGCAGGAAGTGGTTAAAAGAGTGCCTTCTGGGTTTCATTTGAGCATCCTGTACATCACTCACTGTGACGTTTGCCAGGAAAGTAACTTTTCAAGGAAAAACCTTAAGTCCAATAAATGGCAATCTGCAATCTGTGCAACCATCAGGTGTCAGATAGGCTGACTATTTCATCTGTCCTTTCACAAAAGGTCAAAAAGTGTGCGTGTATACACTTTTCTTTCTATCTTATGAATAAATTTACCTGTTGTAGGAGCAAGAGTGGTAGCACCTCCTTCAGTTGTGCGCGTCTTTTTTTTGGTAGCCTTGGAGGTTGATTTTGGAGGGGACTTCCCTGCTGTACTGTCTTCTGAAGTGGTACTTGATTTGGGTGCTTGAAGAAAAGATGATTTTTTCTCATAAGTTTCTGCTAATATTAGTTGCTGAAACGTCGTGGTATTTGTAGAAGTGTGTTTCATTAGAAGTTGTTTGATAGAAACAATGTCAAATATCTTTTGCTTGCATAAAATGTTCATTAACGGACATTACCTTATCTGTCCCTCAGATTTTTATGGACATATGACAGTGTGAGCTGTACTCATTGAAAGCTTATAAGCTGAATAGAGCAGTTGCTTTTCAACGTTCTTGGACTCACCATCAAGGGTTGCAGTTCCACGCTCCTCTGGGTCAATTCTTCGGCACTTGTTTGTGGTGTTGCTTTCTGGTTGATGATAACCTTCTTTACAAGGTGAACACCGCATTTCTGTACCATGCTCACCACCTAAGATTTAAACAGTAAAAAGATGTTCCCTTGCAATCATGCTATCAAAGAGGTTTTCAATCTGTTTCACTGTGAGCCCAGGGATTTGCAGAAACTATAACGATGACTGCATCGTTAACTGAAGCAATCTTTAAAATGACTGAATACAATAAATACTGGAAAATACTCTGATAGGTTATCAGAGGTTTATGGTGTGAAAGAGGTTTGCTCTGACATTTGACACTGAAAGCTTCAAGGCTCTAAAGCTGTCGCAAGATTGATTCAGAAGTTGGAGACAGCAAAGATGATCGTTTATGGACCACCACTGTGGAACCCTTGGGCTTTAATAATAAAGCTTGCTGCCTGAACACATGAAGTGCAAATTAACATGGCTTTTGACTGCACAACTCTTTGTGTGACTGGTTTTGGTTATTAACTCTGCACATTGTTAATGTGCAGTCTCCTGAAGACGGACAGAGTACACTGTCCGAAACGTCGAGTTATTCCCCGGTTCTTCTCAGAACCACACATACTCGTTTATTGGACCCCCCTTTTTTTTAAGTAAGCCTACTTCTGTTTAGTGTACAGTGAGTCCACTGATGTGGGGTGTGACATGGAACAGCAGTTGGGAAACTACCTGTTGCATAATCTTTCCTGGAAGCCACATGGGCCTAGTGCATGAGGAGTTGGAGTCTTTGTCCTCAGCTGAGTCATTCTGACTCTACATTTTGAAGAGTGAACATCGACTGCAACACCTCAACTCACTAGCGTCCATGTGCTGTTCCTTTTCTTACAGAGTGAAACTCTTTTAATGTACACCTTTGGTGTAACACTTTGTGTTACCCGGGGTGCAACAATAGATACATGGTGTTACCGCAATCGTTACTATAAATCTAGTTTCCTTCACCATGAAAACCTTTAAATCTTAAACTTAAATTTATAAAATTGATTTTAAACTCCTCCTTTTGGGGTGTGGATCTACCATATGGCAGCATTTTGAAAATAAGGGAGCCTCAAAAGTGTGAATCTAGTGTTGAGTTTTTGCTTAAATTAAGATTTCTGTTATTTTTTAATTATTCTTTTAACTTTTTATCGTCCTCAGGGCACTTTGTATTCCTAACAAAAGGTGCTTTTGAAATGACTGTATTGTTATTTTACTGCACTTTTACACACACCATCCTACCTCCAGATATTGGTTCATGATCCTTACTGCAACGAGGCACCGGCCGACAATCATTACGAGTTACCAAGTACCCATCTGGTCCACATGTACAAGTAGTGTCAGGACCAGCTGGCTTGCATTTTTCATGCTCATCCTACAGAAAGACAGTGGAACAAGTGTGAGGAAAGATCTTTAAAATCAATACTAAGATATGCTTCACATTAAAGCAAATTATGAACAATCAATTGTGGTTAAACGGACATGTAAATGTAAGATCCAAAAGCAGAAGAGGATTTTCAGTCGCACGATTCCAAAGGTCAGCATCCAATTTACAAAGATGTCCGCTGCAATGTGCGCCCCTCCAAAGTCTCTCAACGTTCTGGTGTCAATGAAACTGCCAATAGAAATACACAGATTCCAAAGTGCACGCACCTCTGGGACATGGTACCCTTCCTGAGATGCTTTCACCCGTCCTGTTACGTCACGTGAAAAACCTCTTCAGCTTAACAAAGTTTAAATGCTGATGAAATGAATTAAACTAACCACAATCCATGGGTAATTGCAGACAGTGCAGTTATATGCTAACTTGCATTTGTTCCGCGCTTGCATTATTTGTCCAGGGCGTACCAGTTCACATCTAAGGAAAAAAATGGTATAAAGTATTCACCTTACTTATGTTTATACTAAACATCTAACCCTTACATGCAGCATAGAATAGAAAGAAGGTTAAATTAAACACAGGAACATTTTCAGTGGGCAGGCAAATTCGGCCATTCACCTGGTTTGTGAGTTTGAGTGTTGCTTTGTTTACCAATAAATAGAAAATACAAAACATGAACACAAAATGATGACAAATTCCAATATATGGAGAACATGACACTCACTCTGTTTGTCGATTGTCCTGTGGATCTTGGTTGCATGTGCAATCCCTTTTAACGATTTTCCCATTTTCACATAAGTCACATTGACAGTGGCGATCAGTTGAAGGGTCAGTGAATTCATAAGTAGAGTCAGCACTAGTATCACTCAATATGCAAAGGTCTCCCTAAATGAAAACAAAGACATTTTCTTTGCATTAGCAAATGACAGACAATCATTTCATCAGTGTCAATGAAGGCTTTTTCACACGAAAGCCTCTCAACCCGAGTTGAACTCAACCCTGGGCTAACCCATGACCGCCCTGGGTTGAAAATCAGACTTTTCAATCCAACATTCTATCTGGTATTGTTTCATATTTGTTTTGTGTAAACCGAACTTATCGGAATGAGTTCAACCTGGAAATGAGCAGGAAAATTTTCAATCCAGGTTGGAAATTCTTTATCCTGACACAGGATTTGGCGCAGGGTGAATTGTCACAGTTTTCAACCCTGGATCAACCCCGAGATTTGTCTAGTGTGAAAAGGCCTAAAGCACTCCCTTCCAAGATCTTGTAAGAAGTCATCTGATGTAAACATTTGAATAACCTTCTTTTTACAACTGCCAATGTCTTCCACACATCACCAAAATATGTCAAGTCTGTCAAGGTCATCTGGTTAGTTCAAATCTTCCATCAGTACATGTGTGTTGATAATACGGGTGTTTCACAACAGTGCGCCTCCAAGAGTTTGCAACGCGTTGGCCAATCACAATGTGAAAAATTTCGAAAAATTTCACACATTCTGATTGGCTAACACGTTTCCAACTCTTGGAGGCGCACTATCGTGAATCGCTCGTCTTCATCACAGTGCTTAGTTTTATTTCTTGGAGATGTTAATTCCTGTTATAGATTCAAGTTTTAGTCATTAGTGCTGCGAGCTGACTGACAGCAAATGCATAAATACATGTATATTGAGTATAAAGGTTTGCGGTAGCACTATGCGGAGGAATATATCTCTTATGAGTATGTGATACATATTCCTTCACATGGTGCTACCGCAAACGTTTCCACTATTGCTGTCGTCCACCATGAATAGCCTGAAATTCCATCTATAGTAACTATATACAGAAATCCTGTAAATCAACCCACTGAAAATTCACACTAATCACAACTTACTTAAAATCACAATGAAAACAAACCATCTAAATCAAATTACACTGTACTCGCGAAATTTAAACTTGCACAAACAAACGTCTAGTTTATCCACTATTTCACTTGTTACCAAAGGATTTACTACAAGGGTGAGCAAGCAATACAATTACATGTACATGTATATGTAGTTCCCAACATGTATCTATCAACAGGATTTGAAAACGAAGAAGTGAATGGAATGCAATGTTCAACTCACCAAAATGACTTAATCCCAGCATTTCACATTGTGATAAAAAGTGCTCAGTATAAATAATTCAAAAACAAAGATGCATTTTTACATGTATTTAGAACTCAATATTCATTTTTTCCAAATACGAACCTCAATTACAATGCTGAGATTTGATTCTCAGTATCATAAACTCCACCATACCCTTGACATACATGTACCTGTACATGTCATTTTGGATTATTTAATGTTGAACATCCTTATCAAACAATAAATCCTGAAGCTATATGAGAAAAGCCACATCAACCACTTGTTGCAAATAAACACTCATGCAAATGCAGCATACATGTCAAAGGGAACGTAATGTCCCTGTAGATAACCAAATAAAACTGAGAGGAGATTTAAGATGTATATGTAACCCATGCCACTACCACAACAAGAGCATAAAGTTGCTTTCTGCTCTTTCTTATTTCAACAGTTCAAAGTCAAATTGCATGGATTAAAGTGGAGGTCAGTTTTGGGGTTTGTAATATTTAGCCAGAATAGCCCTTTGATTTAATTCCAATTTTTTTTTGCAGGATCAGTTATTTATTTGAAGATGTCATTTTCTCATCAATTTTGACAATAGCGTTATTCATGCCTAGTGTGAAATGTTGAAACAATGTCACAAACGAAGACGCAAAGCTGCCAGTATCATGTCACACTTATACCCTAAGTGTTCCATGTACATACCATTGGAAAGTTCTCTTTCTGCTGAATTAAAAAAAAATAATACTTCAATGATGAAAATTCTGACTCTCTGCTCAAATTGTGGTGACAGGTCGCATACATAAAATCTGATTGTATTTCAAACAACACAAATTAAAAGGAACACCTACACGGGAAAAGAATAGTTAAATTTGCCCAGCAAAATGCCCCTATCGGCACATTCACACATGCACACTGTTTCTAGCCAATCATGCACAGTATATTGCCCTCAAACAGTTTTATGATCAAAATGCACCACTAAATAGCAGGGTGTCCAAATGAGGAAAGTTAATTTCTAAAAAGATTTTGAAAAGAAGTCATGCATGGACCAAAAAAACAAACGTTTTGGGGCTGCCACCTTGTACATACATGTGAGAACCCCCTCAGCAGTGACAAAAACAGGCCAGACTGACCTTTGACTCATAAAAAAGTCTAGTGAAACAATTAGTCATGTGAACTGAAAGGCTTGTGCAGTTGTGTGGCTGAACCAGTGTGTGGAGTGTGGACACAGTAGATTAGCCCAATGCCACCATAAATGCTACACCATGGGTCAAAAGTGACATCTGTCTTCTATGCAAATTATTTAAGGATACATTAAGTGACTAAGTTGTGTTTACGGTTGTTAAGACTGCCCAAAATTATAATTAGATTAAGATGGGTTTTTATGCACAGTTTGTCAGTACCCTCCTATGCTGAAGTCACTCTTTGGGCCAGTTGGCAAGCCCTACGAAGATACAAAGCTGTGCCATATCGTGCACTGAACTAACTATATCCCTCACAAGAATATCGGATCCAACAACTGTGCCTTACTTTTTTCATGTACATAATTGTGCAGTAAACCAACTGTAGCGATGAGGACTGCACAAAGACCCTGGGTCATTTTGTGCTGGCAACCTACTTGTGTTTCATGTAGAATACACATGTACAAGAGTGACTCTTGGCATTCGTGCATATTTGTGCTGTTTTTAATAAACACATATGGATGGATATATGACCTTTATATAAAACTGAATGGAAATAAAAGTATTCTACTAATTTCAAACAATGTTTCAACATTCCTTCAAAATTTCTTTGAAGTTTAAACTGCAAAACCCTGATTACAGCACATCCAACTACTGGAAAGGCCACTTTTGAGGAGAGGGAGGCACAGGATGGTAAGGTGTGCTACACACTGGTTGAAAATAAAGAATATGGCGCCCATGGGAACGGTTTAAAATGTAGGTCAGGTGAACAAAATGCACAAAGATAAACCAAACAAAGAAATTAACACACCAACTGTGGTGGAAAAGCTGGAAAACTCACAGTGCAGTACCTTTCAAAAAGCTGATCTCAGTTGACTTTCTAGATCTCTGTCATTCCAAACGGTGTTGAGAAATTTAAGAATTTGTGGTAACACTTGTTAACAGGGATATACACAAATAAATGTATATACCCTACATTTCGTATCACTGCAATGCACTCATGAATACAAATGTTGCAACACAAGATGTTTACAAACTGGTCATGTTGAGTTAGTTGAGTATTTCATGAGTATTCACACATCTTTACAAGAAAGACACTACTCCGGTCTCAAAAGTCATACACTACTTTTCATATAAAGTGTGACTATCATTTTCTTATCATTAACCCTTCTCGCATCAGCTCAGTCCTTGCAACAACAGGCCATCGTCACTGGTCGCTGGATGACTTGTGAAAAATACTTATGACCAGGGTGAAATTTCTAGGGGGCACCTGAAATGTACACATTTTTTCCACGGGGCAACCAAAGGTTAATGAACTGTGGCTTGTACGCAGGTTGTGTACATTTTAATTTTTCAAATGGGGGACCTGGACAAAGGGGAGGACACGATTCCCTAGGGGGGGACATCCTCCCTCAGAGAAATTAAATTGGTCATCATGGGATCTCCCTGAAAGAATGTTTGATAGAATCCTTTGCTACATCATCAAGGATAATGCAAACGGGGGTAACAGTTATTTTTCACACATCCTGTGGTATTAGGGGGAGGTTACTTACATTTGGGCCAGGTTTAAACTTTGGGGCTCGCTTTTCACGTCCACTGATCTTATCTGCTGTCTGGTTCAGGTTGTCTGTACTCAATGGCTGTGATGAGTAATAAAAAACAGGGTTATACCAAAGACAATGACAATCAGATGATTGGTGGGCATGAGTTCTGTTACAGCAACACCACGTTGTGTTTGCAAATTGAAATCTGAATAGAACAGGTAGACATTTCTGACGGGAAGAGTACACCATTCATGCTTCACCCCTTTACTGACGGTACCCAATTTCCCAAATGTAAAAAGTTCAATTCTTTGAAAATAGTGTTACAGACAGCCTCAGATTGTGACTGGAGTCAGCTGATGTATAAAATTTCCCCAGGACGTTGAGCAAGCTGTCCATCAACTTTTCAGTGAGTTCACAGAGATCATGGATCACACCCTGGTATCCATGGGCGGAAATCTCTCCTTGATTGTGGGGAGAGCAATTCACCCTTTTTTTGTGCACACCGTGTTTATTATCTTATTCCATTTATAAGAACTCATAAGGGAAAATCCTTGATCCTTCAATTCCTTAAGTATTTCGTTTTGCTTGAAACAACGAACGGACGTTCAACATGGTGTCCTCCCCTACCAAATTCATGGGGGGGGGATGTGTCCCCTGCCAACCAGTTACTAAGTTTTATATGATGTCCACAACAACTGTTTTACCGCATTGTTCTATCTCAAGAAGTTCTGGGCTAATAAATTTTCAATGAGGTCAATACAGTTTAAATGGTACCACACTGTTCAATTACAATGAGTCCTGGATCCATCTCTGGCACTTTGGTGTCTGCAGAATCAACATGAGGGTTATCTGTCTTTTCAAGGTTCACTGGCAGCGGCTACAAAGACAAATTAAATAAACTGGTCAGAGTTCTTTATTCAACTGGATTCCAAGCTCATGTATACCTTGTTTGAAAAGAATGTTTTATTCCGTTTCAACAATTTAAGGCATTTATTCCCATTAACCAATGCTATGTGTAAAAATGTCAGATGAAATATTAAAGTTTACGAGACTTCTGGGCAAAAATTCTGCATAAAATTGCAAATCATTTGATCAATTATTTTCCTGAATAAAGGAGTTAGTCTATTGGTGGTCAAAGATCATACATGCACTTTCACTGTGACAAACTATAGGCCTGCATATGTACAAATACCAGTATTTAAGCAATTAGCATGTTTTCCCTGCATTCATTTCAGTGTTTTCAATTTCTACATTAAATTTCGCATTAATGCACAGTGTCATATTAAAGGATTGTTGGCATATACGTGAAGTTATTTTCTGCAAAGTTGCCACTTTTCTGAACAATCGTGACAATTTGAAAGCTTCATACATTTGTGGAGGTTTGAAAAGCAATTCACAAGGATGCAGACGAAGCAACAGAATGGAACAATTTTTCAAAGTGGGAGAGGGGGCAGTTGGGCATCAGCCATTAACAGGCAGATTCACAAAGCCCCAACCAATTACAGGACCTGCAAAAAGTGGGGGGCCTATGCCCCAGGCCCAAAAATGGGAGGGGGACACTAAGCCCTGCTTCTGCCGCCTGTGAGACAAAGGAGAGTTTTTTAGTTCTAGCCATGGGGTAATGCCATCCTTGACAATCTACTTACATTAGTAGGTCTCGTAAACCCTTCATCCTGGTCTTTATTCCCTTCTTCCTCAGTTGGCGTGGTTGGAGATGTGAAGGAAAACAAGCTAACGTCCTCCACTATCGTGACAATAAATGGCTGTAATGCCTATACATTGAAATCAAGAAAATTATGTAGTCAAATCTCGAGCTGAACTCACCCTGTCCTTGGCCTGGGCAAACTCCGACAAGTCGTGCAAGGGGTCTTGTTAACACACAAGAAATTACCAACTCAGAAAATTAGGATTCTCTGTCTTTAAAACAGTAATAGGGCTGTTACGCCCCAACTACAGCATATAAGTCCCAACTATAGTTGGGACAGTCCCAACTGTAGTACTGCAGTTGGGCTGGCCCAACTATTGTTGACCAATGTCTGTGGGAAATGTCTCGACATTATCCAAGTCAATATGTCTCACGCTTGACACAATTCATCTAAAATGTGGCACTTCTTCTGTTCATCTAGCCCTACGACAAATGACATGACATTTGTAAATGATATGACTTTGGCACATGCTGGACACATGCACACTGGACCTCTCTGCTGTAGTTGGGCCGGCCCAACTATAGTTAGGACTAATGCTATAGTTGGGGCGTAACAGGTATACTGCCTCATTAATATATCATACTCGTAAGAGCTGGACGTGTTTACTTAGGCCGTGTCCGAAACAGGCTTCCAGAGCTGGGGCTAGGTCTATTGTCTACGCATCTCCACGCATTTCCAATGGAGCAAATTAGTCCTAGACCTAGCTCTAGACAAGAGATTCAGATACAGCCTCAGATCAGAAGTTGTGTCATGTAAAAAGGTCAACAGGTCAAGCGCGCACTACCTACCCAGTGCCAGTCATGCCAGTGGACCAGTCCATTTACAGGAATGGGGTAGGACAAAGACCCAGTCCTTAGAAATACATGGTATATTTAGATTAAAATTTTTCCATGGCAAAATTTCTCTGTCTGGCCATCTGGCCACCAGAACCGTAAGGTCTGTGCTAGCGCTAGTCCTACAGCGCTAGCCACGGGTACAATATGTGTTTTCCTTCCACCAAGCGCGCCGTAAGTTGGCCTAAGTGATGTAAGTCTGAAAATTGTATGCACAAAATGACATTTTTATCAAAAACAGCGAAGTGACACAACTCCACAATACAAAACAACGATACTTACCAAAACACTCATCACGACTAACGAAACTTTGACCATGTTTGAAGATTTCTTTTTTGCAAATTTTGGAGTTAATTCACAGACCTAACGTTGGCATTTGCAGTCGAGGCAACTTCGCATGCAAAAGACCGGCGACCTCGGCCGCACCTATGAGGCGCCCTTTGTAATATGTCCTCAGTTTAATTGTACTTTTGTCCTGTATACAGGTTGGTTTCGCATTTTATACATAAATTTCGTCCTATATATACTTCTTTCGTCCTTTGAATATTTTATTCCATTTTAAATTTATTTCACTTTCGTCATATATATTACTTTCGTCATATATATTAATTTTGTTTGATTTTTTCGTACAAATAAAGTCATACGGGGCGCCTCATACAAAAATCAACCAGTGTATTCTGGTATTCTGTAGCTATCTGGGCCGGTGTATATGTACACATGTACATGTACATGTACATGAGAAATGTTTCGCTGTGCATCGCTGGTAGTTGTTAGTCTGGTTCCGAGTATGTAGACTACATACACTAGTGGGCACATGGTCCTGTTCCCAGGCTCCGTGTAAATTACACTGTCAGTATTGCATCGACGAGTATGTAGACTACACACATACATGCTCCGTTTTTCTCGTCCCATATCTGGCTGCAATTGCCAGTGAAAGAAATTTCTAGAACACGTGAGCACGTGGGATCTGGGGAATTCCCGTGATTGCAAAATTTGACAGGAGGTACTACGGAGGCGTATAAGAGCCACTTGCAAATTTATTTTTGTTACTACATGTATCTCGTCACGGCGAAATACTAACTTGCCACAGAATTAGTCGCCGTGAGATTATTAGGTCACCGCGGCGAGGTAGTATTTGGCCACGAGATATAGCATTTCGCCGCGGCGAGATTCTCGCCGTCAGACATCCGGAAAAGGTCATGGTCAGCAATGGGTGGCGCGTTCGTGAGAGGGAGCATAGGAGATCACTTCGTTGGGCTAAAGCTGTGAAGGTCATCAGGTTTTGTTTTTGTTTTCAAATTCCATGTGACTTAGGGAAGGTGATTTGGACATTACAGTAGATATCTTTCTTTCTTTCCTTTTTTCAATTAAAGAAAAAGCCTTATTTCCCTCCCGAACCAGTCTCTGGTGGATACATTATCATGATAGCACGAACGGTAAATTTGCCTCTTTGCCGCGTGATAAAGTCCACAGTGACGTGACCGCGAGAATAGTAACTCGGAAAAAAATTGCAAGTGTCCCTTCTACACTTCCGTAAGTCGCCTATACTTTATCGGAATATTATGATTCTGTGCAAAATGTCTGCCGTGGCAGGTTTGGTTCGTTTTTCTCTATCGACATGGTCGATGTCATCTTGATTAACCACTAGCCTCAACTGTAGTTAGCCTTAACTTTCACGGACACTTAACTGAGAGCTGTCATCACCATCCGACCATGGACCAGCAAAATTTGTCTGCGGTAAGTTGGCACATGGAGCATGGACATGATGGAGACTCCTTCCTCCATGCATGGAATACCGAGTAGCTCTGTGGTTGGCACGATGGGCGTAAATCATTGGCCCTTATTATTACACATGTAAACAGGCCGACAAGGCCATAATGTACACGCCTTCGTCGATATTGAGGAGTATACGGCTAATGCAGTAAAGGGCTGTTTCATGCTGCGTTTGCACACACGCAGCATGTAATGTGAACGCCGCATTTGACGTTTATCCATTGATCTCCATTATACCGAAGTTTCATATACAAAGGCTGATAGGCTAGATAGACTGTCATAAATTTCTTACTAGCCCTATACTGGCTTAAAGTTAAGCATTATAAACTAAATAAGCGTGACTCACATTTCCTTCTGTTCCTTTGTCCAAACTTGACGTTGGTCTCCGGTAATTCACTGCTGCGTACACCTCAGCCATTATTCTTTCCAAATTTATCCATTCTAAGTGCAGAATTCAGTTTTTCTTCGAAATCTGACGATTGAAGCACAAAAACCTCAACTGGTTTTTGAAAAACTCCATTTGAAAGTACACGCAACGAAATTCGCAACACTCGTTATTTACCCTCCTGAAAATACGCATACATGGGACACATTTTGGATGTGACGTCCTATCCAGTCTATACAATGGAGATCAATGCGTTCATCTGGTTCGTAAGTGACTTCGTCACAGTGGCGGACGTGCCACTATTTGCAGACTCTCATTGGACAATCGCTGAAGTTGCGTGTTAACTTCCGGACATAAATATACGGACATAAACATACTTATACATGTACATGTACGTGGTGTGTATTCCATTTAATTTATTCTTCTTACAGCGTTCAACATTCCCAGACAAGAAAATTTCATCCTGGTTAATTTGATTGGTGCATTTCCTTGGAGGCCTCGAGGGGGTGCACATCCATGACAAAAGATAGGCAAGCTGGAAAGATTTGGAAAGGATCCCTCTTTCCCAATGAAATTCTGGAGGAATGTCAGGCTCAGCACTGTCTTACTGTAAGCTTTGCTGAGACAAAATGTACTGCCTTCAGTCAGGCCTGTGGCTGGGGGCGGGGGATTGAAGTGCCCCCTCCCAGTGAGCAACTCCCCCTCCTCTCCTTGACAAAAAGCATAAGCATCCAAATATTCATAGTTCTTCTTGTGTCATCCTGTGACCCCCCCTTTCTGTGCCCAAAGCTGATGACAAAGCTGCTTAAGGTATGTTTGTTGGGATGAGCATAACCAAACAGTCTCCCAGTGAGGACTACGGGCCAAGTTTAGCAGTGAGGAGATATCAGTGAGGTGATTGCTGAATGCCGTGTTGTTTGCAACAGGTGCCCTGTGCCACAAGTATATAAAGTTCACTTTGTGCTTATTCAGATGAAGTTTTTCATGAAGTCTCTGTGCTATATATTACAAGATGTCATTGAACCTCAGTGTAGGGTTTCAAAGTGCCTCACTTGTTTACATATTCTACCTCCCTGAATGCAGTGATTGTGGAATTTTTTCAGGTGTATACATGTAGACAACACAAAACATTGATTTGTCATAGTTAATATTCATTAGCTATGTGCATGTCATTAATCATTTAATAATATTTTTTCCTTGTCTGACTAGATTTTGATGTTGCTCTTTCTACATCAAGCCTACTGTTCAGAAGTTAAAAGCCTCACAAGTGATGCCTCAGTATTTCCACAAGTCCTCGGTCATGTCATAAAGCCCCGTTCCACAAGCAGCAAGTTCATTCCGGGCCCAGATGTTAGAGTCTCTTATTATTTCTTTTATTTAATGACACTGCAAGTTTTCTTGTGCCACAGCATTAACCAGTTACAAATAGGCCTACTTATCAGCAATGTTTCAGGTCATAAATGAATCAAACTATTTCAAGGACAGAGGTATTTTGTCAGTAACCACCTTGAGCATATCTGGCTGAAAAGACTGGAAGCTTTGTTCATCAACTGATACAAAATGTAAGATTTTAGTAAGCACTCATTATGTATATTTCAAACAAGAAAGTCAATCAGTGTGGACGTTGTTCATGTGCAGGTGTATGCTCCCTAGGGAAAACTATGTTTACTCG